CCGTCTGACCTCGCGTAAGTTTAACCAAGCCCCAACCTCAGCGCCTACAACTAACAACTCATAGAAAGCACCAAAAGTATCACATGAAGTACTTCTCATGTCTAGCCTCAGGGTGTGACAAGTCTTTTGCTACTCAGAAAGACCTGATCAGGCACACGCGCACACATCGCAAAGGCGAGGGCTACCAATGCAAGGTAGAAGGGTGCCGCAAGGCCATGTCAGGCCATGTCTACTCACGGAAAGACAACTTCGATCGACATATGCGGACGGCACATCCAGATCACCCGCAAATCTGAGAGGCATACAGAGACTCTCTATTCTTTTCCGACAGACGCACTATGATGGTGTTATAAATATAGAAGCTAATATCAGAGCTTGAAACAGTATAGGCGTATTTTATTTGAGAACACGGGCATTTGTTTGAGTATAACGGGCAATATTGTATGAACTAAGGGACTTATATAGAGAAACAATGAATGGGAAATAAGGAAAGGGTTATCAAACTCGTGTGTTTTATCAAAATACTGTTCATTTGATTACAGTCCCTTTTACGTATTGTATAAATGAACCTTTGAGTGTTACAAGCCGTGCCAGAGTATTTGCTCAATGATGTAGATGGTCTTTACGGGAACCTATGAACTATTGACGTTTGGACTGAAATTACCAATTGGCCATGAAAGTGCTAATAGTTGTACAGACAAGTGAAGCAGTGATATGAAGCCCGTTTCTCTCCTTGAAATACATCTCAAGAGAAATTATTGTTTGATTTACCTACACATGTATTGGTTTTCAGTACGAAAGCCTGAACACAGTGGAAAGTTCAGTTTGGTTTCGCACCATTGGACCTCGAGTTACTTTATACCATCCTGAAAAAGACCTAGAAAGCGAAAACATGACCTCCTTGAGCTCATCCCAGCCACAAAGGAAGTCTATGGAGCGGTCAGCCCTCATGAAAATCTATGTCATGTGCTCCGTCGTGACAGCTACCAGGTCATAGCTCTTTTCTTTATTCAAATCAATTATTTTAGTAGACTTGAGGAGTCTAATCTCGCTTTAAGCATAGCATAAAATGCAAATCTTGCAAAGAAAACACAAAAACAACAATCAAAACGGAAGTCATCCTTATGAAAGTACATATAGGAGCTGGCTTCAGGGTTCCGATCAGTTACATAGGGATATTTAGCTTACAAAAGGATAAATTCGAACAGTTATCATACTGCAGTCATGGCTGTCGATGTATAGTTTGAAACTTCTCAGTCTGTCTGCCTTGTATGATCAAACCATCCCCTTGAGATATCTTACCCAATACTCTTTGAGTTTTTGATATAACTTATATGAATCCCGATAATTCTAAAGTATGATTATTCTAATAATACTCCTAGTTCCACGTATTGTGCAAAGCGAAACTAGCTCATTGACACAACTATGACAATTTTATCATCCTTTTGATACGTTGACTCTGAAAACCAAGATCAGTAGAGTTTCGTTGCTCACTAACTCCATCAGATATAGTGTACAGAAAGAATAGATGATAATAGTAGCTCTATCGTTGGCGGTACCAGTTGATAGTGTCCTGCAGCTCAGTCTAGGAGTCAGGACAAACATCAAAGGGTTCAAAGGGCCAAGAACGGGGGATTACTGTGCCCCTATCTTTTTTCACGTTTTTTTTTTGGCTTTATTTATACTGTATATGGGCTTCAGATACCTTCCAAACATATTTCAGAGGGATTGATCATCCTTGGTCAAAGGAGGCTGGGCAAACACCAGGAAGGGAGGCTCACCTCACAGCCACTACTTGGGTGTTTTACCATTCATTCACTCGAGTTCCAGTCCAACACATGTGATTCCTCTGAATTGCATCTTGATATTACTCTGTCACGTATTGGATCAACTGATTGAGTTGAGTCCATCGGCTCAACCTCTGTTATTGGATGGGAAGTGTTCACCCAGAAGACACGAGACGCATTTTGACGACGATCTCTGGTCTCCGATCAATTAGATTCGTGACAAAAATGTGGTCATACTATTCGCACTGATGGTCCTTCATTTTAAAAGTCGCCGTCTATATATCTTCGTCTGTGGCATTTCTCCAGTCTCAGATCGGCCTTCCTATTGACGTCTCCGACGATCTATCGGTTGATTAAATTTAACAGAAGCTACAGAGTCGCGAACATATTCTTCATATGTATGTAGTTAATTGAGCCATTGTGCGGCATCTGTGCAACTGACGCCCCTCGTCTAGAGTACGAGACAAGATCGCGCTGTCAAAGGAACTCATCGTGGTTCAGCTTCAAGGCAACCAGTCATTAATTACTTCTGCTATCAGCCAATTCTAGAGTTCCAGGAGTTCAATTTCTTATGTATATCAAGGCACAATTGAGGCAACACGCATCAGTGGCCCGATGGCCTTGTGCACTGGCTTCATAGAACTGCATGGTCAGTTATTCTGATACAAACAACGCACAGTTGGCGGAATCACGACGAAGTGCTTGCGCAATTCTGTCTGAAACATTACAAAGTTTGGGATCACAACTTCAGGGCGTGCATTTAGGTGACGCGCAGCCGTGTCTTGACATCAACTCGACCCGGGCGGCCTCTCCCAAGCCACGACAACCTCAACAGTGCAGATTGACTGGTAGCACACACAGAGACCGGGCCTGACAAATATTCGCATACAACTCCATCCGGGAAGTTAGCCACTTGTTGGAGGCTGAGACACAAAGTCTCCGGGTTGAAGATAAGAAGAATGTCACGTAGAGGTGTTGAGTGGCTTACTACCGCATATGAAGCTGAAACATGGGGTTGAGTTCTTATCTGCATAGAACTCAATAGGTCAGAGTCGCCATCACGGTTTGCTAGTACGTAAAGAAATATGGCAGCTGTACGCAGTTGAACTGCGGTCTGCATGCAGCTTACACGACCCCAAAGATTGTAACCTTGGAGAGATATTGTCGCAGGTGCATAATTTGCTTGACACATCTCAATCCCGTCATTGGTTCCTGATTAGCGATCATAGGGCTTTTTCTGTGCTCTTTGAAGTGTGGCAAGGCAGATTAGAGGCTCTTACAGTCGCAGAGAAACGAGGCCAGGAAGTTGGTGTGGTGGGTGGATGGACGGATGGATGCTGTGGCACGCGGGAAGGCTTCCTTGATACATTCTAGAATGTAGCACGCACATTCATTCACTGCGTCATCAATCACATCGGGTCTGGGCTGATAGCATAAAGCAGCAACCAACATATGCAACAAGCAGCCTGTACAACGATAAACAGACACTGTACGCGTACCCAAGGCTAGGAATCACTGCAAGTCGTCGATGTGATAAGCGCTGGGCATCGCCCTGCCAAAGTGCAGATGCTTGATGGTAGAGTCATCGAGGGGGCAAATGTCCTTGCGCATAACATAGACGCCGCCAATTGATCAGTGCGCACTCACTGCGGCCGTAAACAGGTCTCTTGCGTTATCTCCATGGGAACTTCAGAACTGGAGGTGGTAAAATCGAGGGTCAGGTGAAAGGTGAATAACTATTCAGCTCGGTAGGGGACCCTTGTCCGCATGTAAGCATCACTGTCGCAAGCGTTGATCGTCCTTATTCGCGGCCTTCTAGAAGGTTTCCTGTTAAGTTACGTGTCGCCTTCTGGAAGCCTTCTCCGTGCGACGATCCCTGCGACACCCTCACAAGATCACAACAGGGTGCCTGTGGGATTGGCCATGGCATCGCTCGGCGTCAGACCGTGCCTGTGGCCGGTTCCTGTGGCCTCTAGGATCAGATCCTGAGTCCACCATCATTCTTCATATTGCATTCGCATCTGCAATATGAGGATGCCATGTAATAGCAGAGAACTGTATGTACGAAAATGCAGACACACAAAGTGTGGTGCTTGACCGGTTCAAGACCTTCTCGAAGCCATTGATCCATCCCCCCCTTGCTGGTCAGCACCACACCTTCAGTAGAATGACCAATTGGCCCAAACGCCCTTCGTCCACACATATCCCCTTTCGAAGGACCCAATCGGAAAAGAATTTCCAGTCACACTGCACTTGCATGAGTCTTCTCCAAGTTTGCGCTGTCGCACGAGCTATCTGTTGGGATGTCCCAGTTCCCCCGCTATCTCCAAACTCCAAGTCTCAGGTCCAGCAACCCCTGCCTAATAACATTTGTCATACCCGGTTCACACCTCGAAAGTTAGGGCAGTCGACGTAACCTTGAACCCAGCAGCTCGGCTCTCGCCTGTTTTACTACACACAGCAGGTGAGGAAACGCCGTCGTTTTCTGTTTAGCAGCAGTCCATGTTTTATCCAGTTACGCTACCGGGGGGCTCAAGTTTGGTCATCTAGGTACTACCGCTGCTGCTTTATGAGCCAGAGACAAGACGAAACTGAGCAAATGATCAACTGCTCTGAGAAAATCCCCCTTTGTTCAAACGACTGCGCCAATATCCCGCAACTGGACAGATGCAGGCCTTGAAACTGCACAACAACAACCATACGGATTTAACCGCTGATAGATTGTACTATATTTAATGCTGGCCTCCATTTCCCAGTGTTGGATACAGTTACAATCGTGCAGACCTACCCCTAAAGATGACAAGCTACTGGCCAGTTCCCCAAACTCGGAGCCTCAACCACCCACCCTCACAGTCTGGATGAGAAGCCACCCGTGCATCTGAGGCTGCATGACGTGAGCCATACCTGAATTGGCGCGTCGCTATGTGTAAGTTGACCAAGTGAGATGCTCCCTGGCTCCAAAACTGAGCCCAAGGGCACTCCCGTTATAAAAGTCCAGTGTGCGCTTCTCAACTTCAGAGTTTATAGTAGCCAGTCAATAGTCACCTCAACAGCAACTCATGACCGCACACCGGTTCCTCAGAGAGCCACGCATCCTCGCTCAACCTGTATTACACGGCTCTATGAACCATTTCATAGCCTTCCATCATTTCCTCAAGCACACACGAGATACTTGAACTCGAACTCGAGCTTGTGCTCACTTGACAAGCGACAATGACAAACTCTTCAACAAAGGCCACACAAGGATCTGTTCAATCCGAGAGCCGCACAGACAAGATCAATGGGTACGGTAACTCTTCCTTTCATCACAACGCGAATACGGTTGACATCTCATGCACAGACTGTCTTCCAGTCAAGCCACAGCCCAAGATAAGCAAATCACGATGATCAGATTCGTGAGCGACCTGTACGTGCCTGTTTCCGCCCGTCTTCAGGACCCACTGTATGTGCCCGGAAGCCACATGCAGGACAGTGTGAGTTTGGGCCGTCTCACGAACCGCCCGCGGCCCCACTCCTCCACCGGCTTTGAGGGCATCGGGGCCCAGTTTATCGGTAGGCACTCGGGTCCGTTTTGGCTATGCCGGTTCCAACTTACACTAATAATTCTCCTAGACTCTGGCCTCGGCACGAGTCGCTAGGAAAGTTGTTACGCCCAAAGACTCGAGTCGATGTGATATCCACCCTGAGACGAGTCTCATTATGGTTGTTCCATCTTCTCTCTTCTCACTTACGTGGTTGGTATGGAGTAGGCCAACGCCCAACTGCCACTTTCGCGCTCCCTGTAGTTGGTACGAGGTTAGCAAGCCGCGGTCTTACTGTCACAAACCACGTCATCACCATTACTGAGGCTGTACTATCTTCAAAAGTATTTTCTTCTTACATTCAATATTCTAGAAGCACATATGCAAATCAGAATCATAGAAGCCCGCCTTAATAAAACGATGTTCAATCCCCCAGCGAGTCTAATTTCTATCTGCCAACTACATTCATCCAAGATCTTATCAGCAGATGGAACTCTATTTCCGTGACAGCAGGCACAGTCAGATGCGATGTTGTTTGACCCGTGCGGCTTGACTGGAACTGACCATGGGTTTCCTTGATGTGGCGCTGTCTGTGAGTATTGCCAAGGCTCATTTTTCCATCCGCGATCGGGCAGCTTGTTCGTCCTGATTATGTCCGGGGATCGTCTGCAGTTCCGGCAAGGTAGCTGAATACCGTGATATGGCCTACAGGGCTATACCGTCGTCGAGGGCAGAATGCCCCTCATGCAGGACATTCTGCCCTTAAATCGGCTGTTCAGATTGTACATAAGTTGAAGAGCCAAACGAAACTCTTTGGTTACCTTCAGATTGTGGGGGCGCTACTGTATTGTCAAAGCGCCAACCCTGGTTAATAAGATGGGCTTGGGGGGCCTCAAAACTTCAACGCCCAAGTTCGGCTGGACCATGCTCTTGGAAGGCAGAAGCTAGGAAAGGGAGGGACTCAGTTCCATATCCTAGACGTTGATGAGCAAAAGTCTCCTTGGCATTGAAGCGGTAGCTGCCATGAGCGCCATAAGCTAGCTGCTACTCAAATCGACCACCCGTGGAAATCGGTTGTTAGACATGCAGCTGCACCCTCGACTGCATTTGCATCGTGTTGAAACGCTCTAACTCGGCATCCTGGCATTGATTTCGGCTTTCAATCTTCAGAAAGCCCACACTTGCACCCCCGGCTTGTTGCTTTCTTTTCCCCGGCAGCCACCATTTCGTCAAGGAGAGCAAACAATGACCAGGGCCTTGACCCCCCCCCGGTATCTAGGCCCCCCAGCTGCAAACCATTTCCGATGTTCTGTGAGATTTATCCCTGGAGGGACAGTACCTGCGTTTTGTCTCTAGCCAAAGGATCGGCATGACGAAGCCGAACATTACCAGAGTGCATGCACACCACCAAACCTGCACCCCAGGAGTGATATGAGCTAGGGGAGGAAACAAAAGTCAGGACCTTGACCCAAAATGACAAACGAGCCTAAATTTAGTTGAAACTTAGGATACGGAGTATATTTTTGCTAAATTTATTTTGATACCTTATATTAAGGTCTGGTGTTTTCTTGCTCCTCAAAGATGAGGTACTGTGACATGGAAGCAAGAGGCTCCCACGGTAGATAGGCCACCAAAGCACTTATGACCGTTTAATTTAGCCGTCATTGGGCACCTACGAACAAAATGATGGGCCTGAAGGTAATGATGCGCCTCGTACAAGGAGAATTTTTCCAGAACGAGGCTCGCAAAGACGGCTCGACTCAAATCTCACGCGAGACAGGAAGAAGACGTGCAATCATAATGCTTCATTGCACCACCAGTGGGTCGCGCGTTGTCGGAAAACTCCATGAATTAGTTCAAGAATGCTATAATGGTATGCACTTCCTGGCTGTAACAATGATCATAGCTAGCGAAGAAACACGGGATCGACATCGTCACAGACAATTGACAAACCTCAATACCTACGCACGCCCATTCAATTGAGCAGGGGTGCACCCCAGCATCTTCTCAACATTCTGACGCTAGAATTGCACGGGCGACAGCACCTGGGCTTTGCTTCTAGAAAGAAGTGTAGACTTGAATTTGTCTGTCCGAGGTGCGCATGCCATGCACAAGACTGCGCTGCAATCGAGTTGGTGAGACAGACATTCTGCCCACACACCCTCTCAAATTCTAATTTGACAGCTTCCTGCAAACCCTGCACTCCTTTGATTCACACCCACAAAGGCAAGATCTCAACAACAGGGGAACGAAAAAGACAATAACCGCCTAGATCCGAGGAACAGTGCGGGAGCTCGCGTTCAAAGCAAGCCAGCCCGGCCCAGCAGTTAGTTGTATGTAAAGGCCCCCTTGGTGGGTCTGGGATCTGGGATGTCCTCCCCACGCGCCCAAGAGATTCCCTTCTCTGATCCCTGTCTCACCTCAAAACTCAAGATTCCAAGCGGGGCTTGAACACACATCTGATGCTGATAACTTTGTGCTCGCTGACACCGCACTCAGTCCGTATGAGCTCGCTCAACCCTCATGAGCCAGCTCATTGAGCGGAGCCGAGGAGCACTACTCGTCCACTCACATTGCTAGATTCACTTCGATGACAGCCTGTACTGCACGGAAGAGCTCAATTTCAAGGCCGGTAAGTCCGTGGCTTCAAGTGCAGATGGTGTGGCTGGTTTCCCTATGGCGCCACAGTTGTAATGAGGCCGTGCGTCATTTGTCCACTTCGAGAGAGACAACAAAGTCGCATTGCATTCCTTTTATCTTGGCATTGCCCGACGCTGAACGGGCGACGCTAAGATGCCCCACAGAGCAATTGACGGGATGGCTCCCCCATTGACATGCATCCAGCGATGCTCGCCAGCTTGTTTAAGGGGGTTTGGGAATATGGGTGTGGCGGTGGATACTGCAGTCTCGGGGTGCTTCTGGCTCGTGTTGGGAAAAGAAGGAAGTGCAATCAAGCATAATTTCTCGCGAACTCGGTAGCTCGGGAACCATATTGAGGTGACAGGGAGGAGGAGGGTATGTTGCGCTGGCCAGCATTTTCCGGCACGCACGTATGGATGTATGTACTGTAGTAACCCCTGGCCCAATATCCTGGGCCGAGCAAGCGAGTGGCAGTGCGTCCACCTACCAAGCCTGGTCCTGGGTATAAGAAAGAAATGCGATGGACACATTATGGATGGATGGTACAGCCGGGAGCCTCCCCGACTGTGAACCGAGAAAATTCAGTTTCGCTGTGATGCTCCATTGATTTCATCTTCCAGCCGTAATTCCTTTGTTTCGTTTCCTTGCTCACACCCCCTCTTCCTCTGCCCTGCCGGGCCACCATCTCCGGCTTCGTGCCCGTCGCTAGCGTCATTACCAACTCACAATAGCAGAGTGGTAAAAGCGGAACTGGAGTTCGGGGTTCGAGAATGAACAACCAAGGTGGAACCATGATTAGAACTCCAGCTCCGTTGTTGTTGTTGTTGTTCTTCTTCTTCTTCTTCCTCTTCTTCTTGCTTTTTTGTCTCTCTCCCTCACATGCCACCGAACCGCGCAACAAGTCAAAGCCTGGTTGATGATCAAATGGCTACCTACCTAGCTAATTTGTCAGTCGCGTTTCATTAATTGATTTGGAACGTACGCGACTGACGCAAAGCCGGGTAAGCTGGCCCAATCTTATATCTACCAAGATAGTTAGCTTGTCAAGCGGGCCTCGTCATCTTGCTGAGATCTTTTTCAACCTCTGTTTAGGGGGCAAAGCTTGCCGTAAAGCATAGAGTGACGGTCATAACTTGATTATCCGAAAAGTCTCAGAGCCGTGTCTGTGATATCTCGGGGACATTTTTTCGGCGCGGTGGTATTTCTCCGCAACTGAGCTACCATCAGAAATTGAATCTGAACCACTCGAGTCACATCTTCGAACTCACTAAGCCTTGCCAGAGGGTGTGTAGCTATAAAGATCTTGTGCTGGTGCTGCTTAGTGCACCGTTTCTCCAGACAAGCCCGCCCCGTCGATCTGGGCGAACCGTCCGCATGGGTACCCGGAACCTAAAAAGGCAACCCTGAAGGGGCATCCTCCACTGTCATTGAGCTCGGGGTGCTTGCTGCAGATGGACTTGGTGCTGTTGCTGGCGCTGCCGCTGGCGCTGGGGAGTGGTCCGGCACGCCACTCGTCTTGTCAACGCCCTCCATCCACCTCCACCAACAATTGAAAGCGGACAGACGTTGATGTTTTTTTTCTTCTTCAGGGTATACTGATGTTTGGATTGATGCTGCATCACGACGGGCGGATGATCATTGCCTTTCCGCGGACCCATTTGCAGTCTATTTAGTGTCAGAGTACAAAACCGGCCCCTTGGACAAGTTGCGGTAAACAATCCTTTGTGGGTTCAGCCATGGAGATAATCTTTCTTCTTCTCATTCGACTCAATGATTGTTGAAAGATCTGGGGGTCTGCGCGCGTCAATCTTTGAAAAAGCCCCAGTGCTGCTATCGTCACCGTCATACGTCAGTGATGGTTCGACAATTGAATCAAACCCAGGCCAATAGCAATCGCCGGTGCATCCATTGGCTATTGATGGCTTCATACGGGTCTGCTAATTTTGGTGCTAATTTTGGTGCTAGACCCAGGCTAGATGAGACGTTTGGACTTGAGGTCCACGCCCGTGGGGAAGCGAGAGATCGCCAGAGATCCATATCTTTACTGGGTATCACCATACCCTCTTTTTTTCCCTTTGTCTTGCTCTCTCTCTCTCTCTCTCTCTCTCATGGTGCATGGTTCAGGGACTCGTTGCCTTTCCTTCGGGGGACTCGGCCAAAATAAGACTGAAGAATTTGAGGGGACGAAACGAGAGAGGGGTGCAGGTAAGTAAGTCTGCGGGGTAGTCAAGCCAATTCTATTGTCTACCGCTTGTCTTGTCTTGTCCGCTGCTGTCTCTCGCCGACAACAATGACATTCATCAACAAGGCACGGCTCGGGTTTCTTCTGTGCAGAATACACGACTGCAGGGGTCTGGATCGCCTGTGGCCGGGCCAAAAGCGAACAAGCCTCAAGGAACAGGAAACCCTTGTGCTATGCGGGCCTGGCCTGGGCTTGACTAGGCTATCTAGAGCCAGGGACGTTGATGGGAGGGGAGACGTGACGGGAGTCTAACCAAGTCGCAGTGGAAGCCCAGAGCCATTGGAGCGCCGGACGGGTGCAAATGGGAGACCGGTGCTTGTTGAGCTGGGCTGGGCTGAGCCGAGCTGGTCCAAGGCCAAGGTGCCGTTTTGCACGTCAGTCGGCTTGCATCTTCTCTTTTGCTCCTGGGCCTGCTGCTCCCCTTTTGCGTGCTGTGCTGTGCTGTACTCAGGGCTGGGGGTGAGCTGGGTTGGGTTCGATGGCTCTGCAGTGGATGGATCCATGGATTGGATGCTATCATAATTCACCCCTCCCCTCCCCGCTGTCCCCTCCGCTCCCCTCCTCTCTCCTCTCCTCTCCGTGCTCGGCTGCTCACTCGCTCACACATTGGATGGATCGTGTCGCATTTTTTTACTGTTACTTGATTGCCGTACCGTCATATGGCCTGGTCCCTTATTTTTTTTTCTTCCCTCTCTATGCTCATGCTTGATACATCCATCCCATCCTTTCATCCCAACTCTATCGAGTACTTCAGATATAAACTTGTTCACCCCTTACAACTCTTTACTTTGACTTCATCACATCACTCACTCACTTACCTTCCACGCATTATCTTACCTCATACTCTTGCTCTCCCTAGCTACTTTGCCTTGCGCCGCAGCTGTTTGCCCATCGAGCTCTTGCGGGTGCTGTCACTCCCCCACCCGCCGCCGCCGCCGCCGCCGCCTCTACCATCTCTTCCAGCTTTCACCCACTTCCTCCTCGCTCTCCTCTGTGCGCTCAACACCGCTGCTTGTCTTCTGCGCTGCATCACTTCTAGCTCATGCTGCTCAGACCCTTCCTTCGTGTTCATTCCTATATTATTGTTCTCATCGGTCGTTGGCAAAGGCCGTATTCGTTGGCGTCGTCGTTCGGGTCCATTCGTCACTATCATCACCACCGACATCGCCGCCGCCGCCACCGCAATCGCTTCATTCATAGCAATCTCGGTCTTCCTACCTTCGATCTATAACGGCCGTCCGATATTGCCCTTCAATAATCATGTCTTCTGTCGTCCCTCATCAGGGTTCGGCCGTCGGGTACGTTGCGTTGCCCGCTGAGGAAGCACGTCTTGGACGTTCTCGGTATTAAGTGACGGGCAATGCAGCTAATAGACATGACGATGGTAGCGTTGCGGTAGAAGCTCGCCAAGAAGCCCCAGAACTGTCACAGAGCCGTGTGACTACGTACTCTCACGATAATGTCTTTGCCCGCATCCAGTCTGATGGTGCCAACAACGGTCGTGTTGCTGGCGTTCAACCTCGAGAACACAGCATTGCGAGCCTCGAAGCCGCAATGGCCAGGTACCAGCCGATGCATCCTGTCATGGCCGTTTCGTCAAACTCAAACTTGGCTGGTACTGGTGCACAGTTTGAGGGATCGTTGAAAAGTTCGTCGCCAGTTCCTGTCCCTAGATCTTGGTCATAAGCTAACAGCAGGGGCTCCAGACTAGCCGTGTTGGTTCGTCCCAATACCCTCCCTCAACATTACTCAATAAGGTAGGTTTGTGCGTTTCGTTGACTTTTCTTTCCTTGACTTGCTTTCTTGCTCGATTCTCTGATAGACGGTATCTTCTTGCCCGCGGTTATCTCAATCTCCAGATCGTTGACCTGAACCAACTCTGGGAGACCACTGTTGGAGACATATATGAAGCTGGGCCTACGGCACCAGCAATGTTGATGTGATATAGAAACCTCCGAGGCGGCATCACTTCGTATGCAAGTTGGTCGAAGTGATTCTGTTGATCAGACACCGCCAGGAGGTTGAAGCATATACCCTACCACTTTTCTGTTTGTAAATATTATACCCATTTTGCTTTCTGTGCGACGGGAAAGAGGTCCTGTTTTCAGCTTCCTTGCATCGCTCTTACATGTTTGTTCATTTTCTTTGCTTCTTTTCCTTGTTGTGTGCATTGTGTTTGGGTTGTTTCATATTCTGTATTACTGTTGTTATCTTCTCGGTTATTTGCTGGCGTTTTAGAGCATTGCAGACCGCTCCTCCAAGAAGAAGCGGTATTGAAGTGCATGGGCGTGGAATGAAGTAAGGAAATATGCCCCGAGCAACCTGATCCCAATTTGGGATCGCGATATGCGGTACGAGGGACTGCTTATTCTTCTCATTGCGTGAATCGTTCCCTTGTGTTCCAGTCGGCATGAATCTCATGAGGGTACGTCAGCATATGGCCTGGAGCCCTCACGTCGCGGGCGGCACAGGTCGAGGCAGCATAAGACCTGGTTGCGCAAGTCTCATGATGAAAAGACTCAAGACGATTGACGACGCACGATCCCTTGTGGAAGAGATGAGGAAACTGAAAATGATGAGGGACAAAGCATGGCACTGAGAGGGGGTTGGGCTTTATCTATTTGTGGGCGGCTCAGTCATCAAACAGCCAATCAGGCTAGAGTCTTCTTGACATTAGGCCCCAAAACCCAAGGATAACAATGCATCATCAATCGCGAGAGCATAATCCTCGGGCTTCCTGAGGCATTCTCTCTGGCCAATTATCTCCTGGCAGATCATCAAGGCTCTCCTCCATTACAAGGAGTAGCCCTGTGAAGCTCCATTCATTGGCTTTGGCCACTCAAAACAGTTGGCCTCATTTCTGATGTTTTATCAAAAGTACCATCTCAGGGGAGCACGGAAGAATGGATTACATGATTCACGGGGGTATTTGTCATTTTGGAACATCTCCTTTTTGTATCGAATGTACAGTTTACGACATGTTGGGTTCATTGTGCTATTATAGATTGGTATCGTTCAGAGCACTTACGTATATTGCATTACACAGAGGTAGACAGGCATTAATTATAAATAAGAAAACATAATGTGGTGGGCATGGGTGTTCCTATCCTCCAAAGTTTCTGTGATGCTTCAATTATTCATCTCTCGAGGCAGCATAACTTCACGGCGTATTTTGTCATCGTCCCATCAGAATTTCCCCAAATGCTTGATCAAATCTTGTGAGATGTCCAAACCCGATCCTAGGACGGTATATCTCGACAACCACTTCGTGGCCTTACCATCCCCGTTTGCAAAGTTGAACCTGTCATATGGGTCAATCCATTTCTCGTTTGAGCAGCCTTCTCGTAAATTTTTACATATCTTTGCTAGTTTATAGCAATAAATTTATTTCGCAATTTCGTAATTCCTAAGTCCTGCTCATTTCGTCATGCTACTCATCATAGCCAAGCATGTTGCTAACTTCGAATATTGGCTATACAGTGGCCACCTACTTTGGCAGGCTGTCATAAATCAAAGCGTCCTGGCGCTAATAAATCTCATGATTCCATGGGGGAATATGTCCAATATCCCATGGGCACCATACCACATAGTCCTATCATCTTGAGGGATTGCACTAAGCAATCCAAGTGTTTCCTGGTTTATCACTTCCTGGCCATCTAGATTTCAGCCAGATATGGCCTTGTGACCATGCTATAGGCACACCGGACGCATAACTATGTGCTCATGAAACTGAAGTCAAGAGACTGATAATTCCATAAATTGGCCAATTCTCCCAGCTCCTCGTCTGAGATGTTCGCGAACACAGGGCCCTCAGCGGGCACGAAGCCTGTTGGGTTTTGCATGTACAATTGTGGCTGCCAGTCAGAACATGGTGCAGTAGCAGCGTATGCGGTGGGAGGCACAAAGTCACCACCCACGACAGGAACACCTCCCAAGGTATATACTGGAGACACTGCGCCTGGCGTAGGGATAATAAGAGGAGAAGGTGAGAAAGTTGCCGCCGGAGGGGAATTTTGGGAGTTTGATACGCTGCCAGGCGATAGTGTTTGTGGTGATGTAGCAACTTCTGGGGGAGCTTGGGGTCTCGGGGGCACTGGGCTTTTGCTAGCCATGTTATGCGTTGTTGTTGTTGGCCGTGGGAGACGCTGAACGATTCGAGTGAGGATACCGTATGATGCCTTGGCTGATTTAGTCACCATCCTAAGCTCCTGCAACATAGCATGCGCCTCATCGATGGCTTTGTAAACATCGTCTCGTCGGGGAAGTGTGTGATGCTCATCATGAAGAACTGCGGAGCATAAGACTGTCGAGATATCGAAAATACAAAAGAGAACAAAATGGAACTTCGCATCTCGGGGGTAGACATATTTGAAGAATCTACGCAAAGCTACCATCAGCTCCAGACAATAGTTGATGCCGTCGCTGCGTATTTGCAGCTCCGCCTGTAAAGATCGTATAGCAAAGGGTCTTGTAAGGAAACCACGGATAGGCTGTAAGAGCATTGAAAATGCCACAGTATGCAGTATATGTCTGTGAAGGACCATCCAGGGACACGAAACGTCTGAAGATCTGTCCGGATGCTGGACGTTGAAGGGAGGTGGAAAGGTTGCGATCCATGTCTCCATGATGCCCTGGTATTCCTGGACATCTGCATGGGTCGTGACGTTTTTCGGCGAGCCGAATCTTCTAGAAAGTTGTCGTATTACGCTGCATTGCATCTTCATGTGTAATAGAGGCGGGTATTGGCATCCTTCCAAGCCGAGACTTGGAAGGCTAGCATCGCAGTCGGCTCGATCGATAATCATAGGCCTACCCAACAGTGTCGAAATCTGCCTTTTGGAACATAAGTCAAAAGCCATTGAGCTGTGCGGAAGATCACATACCAGTCCCAAGTGTCCAGAATGCACCAGATTCTCCGTCTTACTTCCAAGTCAAATTCTGAGATGGGGCCTGCCTTGCCTTCTTGATGGATGGCTGTGATAAAGTCAGCTATCTTGTCAAGTTGCCAGCTATACACAAGCATACATAGTTCTTGGGCCTCTCGAATAGCAGAGTTCAAAACATGCCAACATTCGACAAAACGGGCTTCGGCCTTGAACCAGTAACAAGAATGCAGGAGTTGCTGAACATTGATAATGTGGCCATGACCTAGGGGTATAGCGCTTCCCAGCTCTCGAGCAGCTTCATGAAACCGCTCACTTATACGCTGTATCGGATCACCAAGGCCAACCTCAAGATTCTGTTGCAATTCGACGTCGGTATACTGCGAGGCACATGCGCAAATTGTTAGGAGAAGGCAAGTCCATTGGACGCTAAGAGGGCGGTTCTCGGTTCGTGATGTCCACCACAGTTGATAATGTTCTATGAAAGATGGCGGGTAGACGATGTAGTAGTGGTAGTTGACATTGCTGAGGAAGTTTTGGACAAGTGTGTCTGATATCGCTGTTGGCTAGATGTTCTGACGTGTTTTGCTGACAGTACATACCGGTAAAAGGCCTGGCAGGGATGACTCTTAGAGCTCTTTCAAGCTGTGGAAAACTTCTAGGATCCTTCACGAATTCTTGTGATGCACCCCTTGTGGTCTGAAAGCAAGGATAATGTTAGGATAGAGTCAAACGATTGAGAAAATGTCACGAACCTCGTGTTCCGATGCCAGATCAAAAATAAGATTGGAAGGCATATAACCCAAGGTGTCGATACCATCGCTTCTTGTGCCTTCAATGTCGGGTTCGTCTCCTGAGTCTGCGCCGATTTTGTTGTTGGCGCGAGTCTTTCTCTGTCTATCCAAGGTAACCCTGTCTGCAGTCGGTTGGTTGGTGTCCTTGAAACGACATTTGTCGGCCACCTTGCGTTTCTGACATCCGCTGCATGGCCACTCACGGTTGCACTGGGTACATGTTTAGCAATTTCAGCATGAATGCATAGCAACTTGCCGGCCGTTCTGGAAATGGCCAAGTTTGGGGTTTGTTACCCTTTGCTTGCGGCGTGCACATTCGGTGCACGCAGATCGATAGCTGACTTCTCGTCGCTGAGCCCCTTCTCCCATGACGATGGATTATAGAGCCGTCAAACTGAGGATCGGTGTTCCGTATAGATATGAGTTTATCGACTAAGAGTAAGTGGAAACACGGGGTATGTGTGATGTTATTGTTACTTTTGGGTATGAACGCAGAGTGTTTTGTAAAATGAACCAATATGACAGGAGCCTACGCATCAAAACAAGATGAATAGAAACGACCATATCACCGGCAACAGAAAAGGCGAATAATCATGTTGATGGGTTCCGAGTGGAGAAAATGCTGCTTGAACGTTGTTAATAAGATGCATTTGCCCGCCTGCAGATCAGTCAAGTGGGTGGGTGGCTAGGTGGCACACGAGAAGAGAAGAGATGCATCACTTCGGGGGCCCGTTCCATTGCTAATTTCGTGCCGAGGGTTTTGCGAGTCGGCGGTTATTCGAAGCGATGGGTCCTAACGGGACCAGCGGAGATAAGCGAGGCGATCAAGTGAGACTGTCAGATGGAATATGCTTAGTGGTTGTGATGCCCCATCCCAACATGCATCTCCTAGATTCTTTGTGGCTCAATCGTCTGAGAACAAATGGCTATCGCCATCATGAAACCATAGTTTGGGAAGCCATTTGGTTCTTCTCATTGGTCAATGTTGCTTCGTTGCGATCCGACTTCC